GTCCATAAAAATCCTCTATTGTAGATGCATCAATTTTCTAAAATTGAGATTTTATATACATTTATAGATATTTATAAACAGAAAAATAAATAAACATTGAATTTTCTTCGTGACACTTACATCAACCATATCATCATCGAAGAGCAACCAAAATCCGTGACTTTTAACTATGGAAATATAATGTCCCCGATTAGGCCCACTTCCACAGTGTATTACAACCGCGACTAAATCATACAATCGATCTGGATTCACAGCATCGTCACTCTGTAAATTATTACATTCGTAGATACTTGTATTATTAGGTACATGTATTTTAACGTGAATCTGATGTACTTACGGTATTAAAGAGTCGAAGCTCTAACGGAAAGACTACCCTGTGTGAAACTTTGATGTGACGATTGTATTGCTCCACGTATTTAAATCTTTTTAGATGCAATGCCAGTATCATCGGTAGTTTTTTAACTCTCATTCGTTTCTAGAATGAAGAAGAAACGTATTACTAGATTTTGTTCCAAGTTACATGACGTCAAGATGTCCAGATAAGAATACCTGAGCCTCTTGATAGCTGCTGCAGTGATCACATTTGAATTTGTTATCACTACAAAGCGTCTCAGTATTCGAAAAACATCTGAGGCAGTGTGTAATTGATGTATTTTGATCAATATCAACTTGTAAATCAAAAAAATCCTCGTCCTTACTAGATACAGTCTCACAATTAAGGCAGCGTGTTTCTGATGTCAGGATTCCTTGAAATATTTCATGTACCCATGTAGGTTCAGGTGGCGAACCAGCATCTCCTGCACCACATTTTCCACCTGCTGGTTTACTTTGGCTTCTTTCAGCTAGAACGAAATGCAGAGAATTAATTTTCTTCAATATGTCGACGCTCGCTATTCATAACATCGTATTTCTGCGGAATTACACAATATACTGTATTGACTAGTTTGAATTATAACCGTGTTGAAATATCCATACAATACGATTATATTGCATAGGTTCGCTGAGATACGATCTAATAAATAGGAAGCGTCAATATAGACACATATTTTTACGTACATGTATGTATGTACATACCCAAAATAATCTCATTTATGTGATTTATTAAGAAGTTTAGAAATTCGTGTGCATCTTGTTGCATATAATTATCAAATTCCTCTGTCAAAAGATTATATACATACATTATACAAATGACTCAAACAACTTTATAATATACATTCTCACGGTTAGTCAAGTACAAGACTATTAATAATTATTTAATATTAACCTTTTTCTTTCCTTAACCTGGCAATAAACTTTTTTGGTGCTATAGAGCCAACTTTCTTTTTTTGAGTCGCAATACTATAAAATAAGTCTGCCAGACATGTTAATAACGTTTCCTTGGTTCTTTTATTTCTAGCTTTATATTCTAGAACCTTTTCTCTAAATGGACGACAAAAGTATAAAGCTTGCAATACAGAATTACTATAACACGTGTTTCCAAACTATAAGAACATACGCAAACGTTAGTATTATTATTTTAGATAGATGAAATGTTTACTGTTGTATCAAGATGTGTACTTACATTAACTAATCCAAAATAATGTTCATTAGGAGGAAATTGATCAGAGCCTATATCTCTTTCTAGTTGTGATATATTTGCACCCTGTAATAATAATAATAAATAAATATAACAGTTTTAATTAATATGAAATTTTTAACTTTTTTCATATTAATTTAATTTGGAAAA